CACATAGTTGCAAGATTTCACCTTTGGGAGATACTAGGTAAAGAGTATATGAGATCTCTGTATTGTTATAATGCAGTGTCAAAATAAGAATTTTTATTAAAAAAATAACTCTTAGGGGAAATTCAGCTCTTAAAGAAATGGATAAAGCCCAATTAGTTAATGAACCCATAAGAAATTATTACCCATTGCTAAAATGAGACAGGGTTCAACATCAATTATTTTCTTACTTTTTTTTCATTCAATGTAAGCACTGAGAAATCTTATTCTTATAAATAGTTGGTTTTGTTTTAGCAGAGTTGCTAAATCTTTTAACTTCCCCCCCCCCAAAAAAAGAAACCTTTAAAAAAAAAAAAACAACCATGGGGTGCCTGGGTGGCTCAGTCTGTTAAGTGTCTGACTTCAGCTCAGGTCATGATCTCGCGGTTCGTGGGTTCAAGCCCCACATTGGACTCTGTACTGACAGCTTGGAGCTGGAAGCCTGCTTCAGATTCTATGTCTCCCTATCTCTCTGCCCCTCCTCTGCTTGCTCTCTGTCTCTCCCCCTCTCAAAAATAAAACATTAAAAAAAAATTTTTTTTAACCCACAATAGTGAGCTACCAACAAAAAGCCATATTAATGGTCTAGTTGTTACTGTATTACTTTGTATGGGCTGCTGTAAACAAAGTACCACAAACTAGGCAGCTAAACTAGGCAGCTCCCGGACAGAAATATATTGTCTCACAGTTCTGGAAGCTACAAGTCCAAGATCGGGGTAAGTTTGTTCCCTTTTAGGGCTGTGAGGAAGGTTCTGCTTTCCTTCTCCCCTACTTTCTGGTGGGTTGCTGGCTGTCTTTGGGTTTCTTGGCTTGTAGAAGCATCACTGTGATCTCTGCTTTTACTTTCACATGACATGCTCCCAGGGTATGTGTCTGTGTCCAAATGTACCCTTTTATAAGGACACCAGTTATATTGGAGTAGGACACCCCCCCCCCATGACCATTTTAATCTGACTTTACCTTTGATAAAACCCTATCTCCAATAAGGTTATATTCTGAGGTACTGGGGGTTAGGATTTCAAAATAGGATTTTCAAGGGACACACACATTTCAGCCCATAACAGTTGGCAATTCTAGTAGATCTTTCAATTGTGTTGAAATCAAAGACTTGGGAATCACTGACTTTCAAATGGATTCATTACTATCTTTAGATCATTAGTATCTTTAGAGTTACTCACTTCTCAATTTCTGAGAAGTTCTGAGCCTACTAAAGTAGGCTTTACCAGGGCCTATTCGGTAGCTATGAACTATACTATTCTTATATCACCGAGAAGCAGTTGCCTTCACAGATGAACTTAGAAGAGGTTGGGGAAATAGAAATATTTTTAATTTCAATACAAATTCACCAAAACTATATTTTAATTAAATGTTTTTATTTTATCAGAGACTTTCATCAGAACTTTGGAGCTGAGGATTTTTACCTCATTGGATTTGTTGCAAATAAAAATGCTTCCAACTAATGTCATTGGCAAAGCCAGTCTTCAATGTCAAACCAAGTAGCAAATCAGACTGTGTGTATAAAGGAAGTCTGGGGGCACCCAGGTGGCTCTGTCGGTCAAATGTACGACTTAGACTCAGGTCATGATCTCACAGTTTGGGAGTTTAAGCCCCACATCTGGCTTCACGCTGACAGAGAGGAGTCTACTTGGGGTTCTCTCTCTATCCCTCTCTCTCTGCCCCTCCCTCACTCTCTTTCTCTCAAAATAAATGAACTTAAAAAAAAAGGAAATCTGATTCCCTTTGCAATACAATGCTAATGAACATGTTAGCTGATGAAATCAGCTTACATCCCATAGTAACTGTCCGGCTTCTGCATTCTAGCTCTCCAAAAGAGAGGTAAATAAAGTGATGAGGCCCAGGAGTTGGCCATAAGGTGGTCCACTTCCAGCATTTCTCCCAGACACCATCTTTGCCAAGATCTCGGGGACTCTTCTCAGGAGAAATGCTTATTCCCAGAGGAATGGACATGGAATGAGAAATATCTGCGTGTTTCCCTTTGATTGTTGCCCACAGAGGGCTTCACACCTCCTGCGCATTGTACCACAGTAACATCGGGACGTATAGCAGGTCTGCCTGTTTGTTTTAAAGCAAGAAAAGAGTGATTATGAAAAAGAAGGCAGGGAAAGAGAATCAACATGGAGACTAGACACAGACGTTTGCTCCTGGGCAGATCCGTCTGAGGAAAGAGAACCAGTGGCAGGTGAGGATCTGGAAAATGAGCCCCTTCAAATATTGTGTGTCCCCAAAGACAGCCGCCTTGTCCCCCACGGGTATGAACCCTCTGGTTTGAGGACCACTGAACTGTCGTACATTCACAAGATAATACTACTCTCCAGCATTTAAAATGAATGAACTAAATCTATATGTAACAACACGACTCAAAGACATACAAAATACCAATGTTTCTATAGACTGAAACATTCTCCAGAAAAAGTGGGAGTGACGCTGACAGGTATTTGTTACTGAGACAAAGCGAGGCCCAGTCAACTCTAGAACTCAAAGGCTTTTCTAGGCCCAAATAAGCCAACTCCTTCCAAGGAGATGGTAGTGTCCCCACAGAGCTGGATTGGCAAGAAGAGGCAGCAGGCCATTGACTCCAAGTTGTCCGTGCAGTCAGTGTCTTTGGAGCCGTTGGCACAGAGCCCTGATTAATTTTGTGCCCCTGCCCTGCCCATTTATACCTTCTGAATGTCTTCACGTCATGTCAATTAAGATGGTTATATTCCCACATGTTAAAAACAGACACCTGGAGAAAAGCAAAGACTTGCTTCGTTTCAGCACAAAAACTGGTGACTCTCCTACCTGTCTCTCACTGGATGTTTTTTAAAAGAAGGGGGCTCGGCTGGTGGAGTGCAGTTCTCATTCCTTCACGCCATCCCGCTTGAGTGCCGCCATCCCGCTTGAGTGCCGCAGCTTGCGGGGTGGGGGTGGGGGTTTACCTGGCAGAGGAGGGCAGCCCCGCCCAGCCCTCTGCACACCTGGCCCTACTGCAAGCAAGTATCCCCTGAATTTGCGAGAATTGCATCTGCTCTCCTGCTTGCTGCAGAGCGGATGTCGTTGTGGTTGCACTGAGAATCCACCACATTCTGTAAAACGTATCACAAAGTCTCCTTGGGAGGTTTCACATGTTGCCTTGGCATCCCCCTCTCCTCAACCCTCTGTAGTGCTGTGTACAAAGGGGCTGCCACCCTCGTGGCTGACACGTTTCTTTGCTGCAAGGCTGGCAGGCCTCCAAGCCAGCTGCAACTCTCTTTCAGGAGACAGACATGGCCTGTCTGGACTTGGCTCTTTCCCTGTCACCCTCATTCATGTGAGTTAAGGGACAGCACTATGTATCCACAGCCAGGGACACATGTACACAGGCATACATCTCTATGCCAGGAGCTGCCCTGCTGTGAGCGACAGTCATAACCATCATTACAAAGGGTTTTCTTTCCCCAGCCTCCCTCATCTTCCATTTGAAAATGTAACAGGCAGGGGCGCCTGGGTGGCTCAGTTGGTTGAGCATCTCGACTTTGGCTCAGGTCATAATCTCATGGTCTGTGAAATTGAGCCCTGCATCAGAGCCTGGAGCCTGCTTCGGATTCTGTGTCTCCTTCTCTCTCTGTCCCCTCCCCTGATCATGCTCTGTCTTTCGCACTCACAGAAAAATAAACATCAAAAAAAATTTTAAGGCCCATTCAACACTTAAAGTTTTGCAAGCACAGCTCAGCCCCAGCTATGATGTGACATGGTGGGGAGGGGGTTTGAGACACAGTCTTCACCGGGCAAATCTCACAGGTGGGGCAGACACATGGAACAGATAAAGCCACATGGCTCCACTCTAGAATGAAGTAGCAACAGTGTGAGGTACATTCATTGTGGGACTCAAAGAGGAAAGGCTCAGGCATCTATAAGAAATGGGAAGAGGGGCATCCACTGGAGCTGGAAGGTTTCAGGACAGCAGTAGGCAAAAAGCAAAGGGACACGGTGTGCGGGAGCTCAGGAAGAACCGTCTCCACCCAGGTATTCACCCAGGCTACACGCATGTCCCTGCCAAGCACCTAAGGTCAAGTATACAGAGAAATGAGATCTAAATCCCACAGCACTGGAGCCCACTCTGGGGCTTAAACAGAATGGTATTTCAGGCAAAGGGAACGACAAAGGCAAGGGGAGCCTGAGTTGTGACAGCCTCAAGTCCTGTGAGAATGCAGGGCCAGGGGACCAGCCAGAGGCTGGGCAGAGCCCGCACCTGCAGGCTCAGAGCCAAGCCAGGTTTCATTTTCCATTCAGTTCCACAGGTAATGGGAGGCTGCAGGAGAGACATTCTCAGATCTCCTTTATGAGAATAATGATCATGGCAGGGTGGCTGAAGTTCTGGCCAAGAGAGGCACTGGTGTGAAGACACCCCCCCCCCCCCCCCGCCAACACACACCCCGTTGCAGTGTCCGCACCATACACAAGAAAACAACAACTGTGAGGTGAGGTTTAGAGAAGGGAGAAATCCCCCAGGGTGTGGTCAGCAGGTGGCCACCAGTCCCACACAGAGGTGAGTGGCTGCTGCCCCGTGGTAGTCTCCTTCCGGCCGAACACCCAGAGTACCCAGCCCAGAGAAGCGAGCAGACCAGCAACGCCGCCCCCTCCTCAACCCTCAGTGCCCATCTTTCTAGAGACACTCGGAGTGGCTACAAAGGCAGTGGACGTGTGTGCTCTGCTTTCCTGCTCACCCTCACCCTCAGCTCTTGCAACTCTATCCTCTGTCTCTGTCGCCCCCACAAGAGAGCCCTTTCCAAATTTCATTTGCAAGCCTTTTTCTCCATCCTCAAACCCACAGCTCTCCACTGCCCCCCGCTGCCCCGTAAAATCTACTTGGACGGCCCATCTAGATCATGGACCCCAGCCCCCTCACCGGGCTGGAAGGTGGCAACCTCGAAAAACAGGGCGACTCTCCTCGGTGGGGCTTCGGGTGACATCACATCCTCCGAACGCGAAACCGGGCTGCTTGGCCGGCCGAAGGGCGCACCTTACCCCTTCCGGGTCCCACCAGCTCCTGCGCGCGTCCGCCCGTGTCGCGCAGCGCCGAGCGGGACATGGCCTCTCGGGTGACCGCCCAGCTCCTGCCGCTGGCCCTGCTGCTTCGTGAGTTGGCGACCCTCGGGGAGGGGAGGGCGGGGCAGGCGCGGGGCGCGGGGCTCCCGGCTCAGCGTGGACGCCTTGCCACCCGCAGAGGCCGCCGCAGCCGTCGGGCCCAGCCGGTTCCGCGTGTCGCCCCAGAAGGTGGACGGCAAGCTCGGCCATCGGGTGGAGCTGCGGTGCGAGGTGCTGCTAACCAGCGCGACGCCGGGCTGCACCTGGCTCTTCCAGAAGAACGAACCTGCCGCCCGCCCCGTCTTCCTCGCGTACATCTCCCCAAACCGGTTCAGGTTGGCCGACGGGCTGGACTCCACACGGATCTCGGGCAAACGGGTTCAGGACACCCTCTACAGCCTCACCCTGAACAGTTTCCGCAAGGAGGATGAAGGCTACTATTTCTGCTCAGTCTTGAGCAACTCCGTTCTGTACTTCAGCGCCTTCATACCGGTCTTCCTGCCAGGTCCGAGCGCTCGGGGCGCGACACCCCCTCGGTGTGGGTTTAGGGCATCTCTCGGAACCAGTTTTCATACGAAAGCCCTGCTTTCGAGACTCTTAGAGCCCTTGTGTGTGTGTAGCGAGGGCCGGGAGGGGGCCTACTTAATACTGCTCCCATTTCACAGACGGGGAACCTGAGGCTAAGGTGCGGCTGGGTCGAGACTGAAGGGTGGCTTCTTAGGTCCGGCCGATTTGGGCTCGAGTCCGGGTGCTTGTCGGCTTCTAGGTAGTTACTTAAATTCTGTGAGCCTGTGTTTGCTGGTCAGCGACCAGCGGGTATCAACCGGAGCCCGCAAGCTTGCAGGTTGAGCCCTGGAGAGAGGCTGGGTGCCCGGGAGCGGGCTCCTGCGTTCCCGTCCGAGGCGCCGGGTGCTCTGGTCGGGACTCGGCCGGGTACCGCGCGCGCGGCAAAGGGGCGAACCCTCGAAGTCCCCAGTCGGTCTCCCCGCCTTGAGGGTAGAGATCGGCGCGCGCGGAGGAGGCGCCCTCTGGGGCAGAGGCGCGCTGGGCAGTGGAGTGGGTTAGGGTAGATGTCCCGGGTCCGACGCCAGCTAGGCTCTGTTTCTCCCGCAGTCAAGCCCACCACTACGCCCGCGCCGCGACCACCCACGCCGGCGCCCACCAACGCGTCGCAGGTGTCTCTGAGCCCGGGGACGTGCCAGCCTGCGGCGGGCAGCACAGGTGAGACAGGCGCAAGGTCCCGGGGCGGGAAATGGCCCAAGGGGCGGTGCGGACCGCAGGGAGAGCCCCTGCTAAGGGCCAGCCCTGATCCTGGATGGAGGTAGAGACGAAAGCTGTCCAAGTGGTGGGGAAACGGAGACCCGGACACGAGAGACAGTCCCAAGCTGGTGGTATGGGTTGGAGGATCCTCGGCCAGCTCCTAAATGTCGGCGTCTTCGGTGTCTTCAGTGGAAACAAGTGGGCTGGACTTCGCCTGTGACATCTACATCTGGGCACCTCTGGCTGGGACCTGCGCCTTCCTTCTCCTGTCACTGGTCATCACCGTCATCTGCAACCACAGTAAGTCCTAGGGAAGCGCGCAGCTCTGGGAAGCGGTCTGCTCCACCCCCTTCTGTGGCGCGGCTTGCTCCAGGCAGCCCTTGCCCCGAAGATGGGATGGAGATTTCTGGGACTCCGAGATGCACTGTTGGGTTAGGCTTAGCCCATTTCTTTCCTGGAGACAGAACTCGAGAAAGTCCCTTCTCTCTCCTCTTTCCACTCTCCGGGACATTTCCCCGAAGATAGAGCCCTTATCCCAGGGGCCGCAGCTGTGGTGAGTTTCATTGGCCAAGGACGTTGGGAGCTAAGCACACAGGTCCTGGCTTATCACAGATGCCGGTGGGGGGTGGGGGTGGGGACTGCCACAGTGGCCCTGGGACCAGTGCCTAGGAAGGCTGGGTCAAAACCATGACGGGTTGGGATTTACCCTTAGCCACCTCCTCGTGAATCCCCTACTACTTTGGGACCCACCGTGGGAGACTGTACTAATCCATCTTAACCCACATCTGTATTTGCAATGCTTTTTAAAATTGATCAGAAGAGGGATGGAAAAGAAGCCCTTACTTGGCTCTCAAGAGTTATGATCCTAAAGAAATAGGAAAAGGGAAGGAGGAACTCTATCTGGGGACTATTGATGGAGGGGGTCAGTCACTTTACCCCTTCTTTTTCTTATCCAGGGAACCGAAGACGTGTTTGCAAATGTCCCAGGTGAGTCTTTTGTAATCTCTGGGCCTAACACTGTGCACAGGTCCTGGCTTTCCAAGCAGCAGTTGGTGGGAACCCTTCCCAGAGAGAGGCCATAGCTGTGGAATTCTGGGGGCAGGAATCAGGATAGTTCTTGAGCAAAGAGAGGCACAAGGCTGGCAATGTGGGAGAAATGGGGACACAGGTTAGGCTGACGGGGAGAGCGGTGTGACTCCATCTTATTTGGCCTAGCACCAAAATCCCATCTGAAGGATTCCCCCAATGAGTCCTAGCTTCTCAAAAGACCTGAGGTCTTTTCATCTGGATGACTCCAGCTGGCTTTTATTGTTTCCTTAAGAACACCTTTCTTCCCACTTGCTTGTTCTTGATTTTTGAGTCTAGTATTTTGAGAGAGAGCCAATCTTTTATCAGGGAACCAAATAAACAATGGCCTAGGTTCCTAATTTCCCTGTGCCAATGCAGGGCCTTGATTTATGGCCAAGGACTGGAATGGAAGAGAAGGGAACCAGAGGCAGGGGCAGTTAACTATCTGGCAGCTCAAGCGACTCCCTGATCCAATTCCAGGCCATGATCATTCTGAAATGATCAGGAAAAAGAACAAAAACAAAGACCAGTGTCTGGAAGAGAGGTCTCCATTTCCTCTGTCCTTTGAACGTAGGCTGAGGCAGCCCTGTGTCAACATCTAATTGGCACCACTGGAGCCTCCACTCAGGATCTCTCTGATCCACATAGCAACCCCATGTGAGAGATACCACAGTCTCATCTCAGAGATTAGCGGCTCAGCTCAAGAAACCTACCAAAGATGGCAGAGAATGATGACACTCAGATTATCAATAATAAAGCACTTGATAAAAGCCCGCAGAGTCCCAGTTACTAGCCATATATATATATTTATTTATTTATTTATATTTATATATTATTATTTATAAATTTATATATTATTTATATATTAAATATATATAAATATATATATTTAAATTTCAAGTTTCATAACAATCTTTCAAGTAGTTACCATGACCACCATTTTTCAGATGAGGAAATTAACGGTTAGGACATTTAGTGACTTGTCCAAGGCCATACTGCCAGCAAATAGCAGAGCTGCAACTTCTATCCAAAATTCAGTCTCCTTCCTGCGATTGGGGGTTTGGGGGATGGGGTTGCTTAAGAATAACATATAAGAATTAAATTCACTGGTTTTTTTCAGTAGATAAAAATATTTCAAGGTATTTATTTATTTTGAGAGAGATTGAGCGTGCACGCGTGTGCATGCGTGTGCGCACACATCCACACACACACACACACACACACACACAAGCTGGGGAGGGGCAGAGGTTCAAAGAGACAGAATCCCAAGCAGGCTTTGCACCATCAGCGCAGAGTTCGATGTGGGGCTCGAACTCACCAACTGTGAGATCATGACCTAAGTGGAGATCAAGACTCTGACACTTAACTGGCTGAGCCACTAATTTTTGAGGCACCCCCAAAATATTTCAAGTTTTATTCCTAGAGTTTGCATTTCACACTCCTTGATATTTCTCTGCAGGAATCCAACCTCACTATCTCATATATCATTTTATATATGATATATATATGATATATAATAATGACATATATATCATCATTTCAACAATAGAAATATAAGGAATTTCCAATGCCTGTTTTAAATGCTGTAACAAGGGGATAAAGACCCTTTAAAAACAGAGAAAGATATTTAGCACTTTCAAGTTCTTGGGGTGCAGTTGGGAGCTTTTGGAGGAGAATCATCCCTTATCTCTATCTTTTCTGAAAATTCTCATTTTGAAACGAACTGAGAGGGGCACTTGGTGGCTCAGTCTGCTAAAGGCCGACTCTTGATTTCGGCTCAGGTCATGATCTCATGGTTTGTGATTTGGAGCCCCACATCAGGCTCTGCACTGACAGTGCAGACTCTACTTGGGATTCTCTCTCTCTCTCTCTCTGCCTCTCCCATGCACTCTTTCTCTCAAAATAAATAAACTTAAAAAAAAAAAAAGGAACTGAGAACAAAACTCCACCCTAGAATGCAAAGCTATACTGAGTAAGCACATCTGAGGGATCCGCATGCCTGAGCTAACATATCTAGTGACAACTGAGGACAGCTCAGCTTCCACAGAGACGTTTGGGAGGAGTGCATAGACATGACACATGATGCATCAGCCCATATAGGAGGCACAAGCCCAGTACTGAATTAACACATTTTTTTGTGACATCAAATGTGGGTTTTCTGTGTGAGATAAATTAGCTCTGCTTGGCTGATGGTGGTGGTTTGCTCACAACCTCCCCTAACCCTGTGATCCTCCCAGGGGCTAAGAATCCGGTCAACTGATGATGTGGATTATCAGCCTCCCTCTGTCACCTCCATGGGTACCCTGGCAAAGGCTCCAAGAGCTAGACTAACTGGGTTCAGACGCTGGCTCCACCGTGTCCTAGATATGTGACCTTGGGCAGGTTCTCCGATCTCTCTCGTTCCCAGTGCCCCCCACCCCTCAGGTTGCTGTGACAGCAGGATGGCAGATGCATGGCACTTGACAGGGTTGCTGACATCACTCACCCAGCCCCATGCTGCTGTTCCAGGGACAAGTTCTCAGACCCTGTAGGGGCCAGGAGGCTGGGGAGGGTGGAGAGACATGGATGGATGCTGCATCACGCTGTGGGGGCTCTTGCTGCAATAATGGTCGGTCGCCTGTCTTTCTTTCAGGCCCGTGGTCAGACCAGCAGGCAAGCCTAGCCCTTCAGAGAGATATGTCTAACATGGAGATGGGCCCCGTGCGACAGCCGCTACAAGACCAAATAAAACTCTCTTTATGAGGACAGTAACAGTCCTTCCCTTTCAGTTTTTCCAGCTTCCTTCTTTATGTATCTATTCTCATTATTATTTACATGGGGGTGGGGTGGAAAGATGACTTTATGTATTTTCCTTAGGTGACACAAAAAAAGACTGTGTCTACAGTACACCACAAGGGTTGTGATACCATTGTGTGCACGCACTGGGGTAAAGGCTGGGCAAGCCAGAGCTACTGCGAGCCATGTTCTCAGAATCCGGTGGTTAGAGCTGGTGGGGGAGGGAGGACTTAGCACAGCTCAGCTCAAACATCTTCAGTTGACATCCAGGGATGGGGGGCAGCTTGATCAAAGTCACAGCAAATTTCAGGGCTCTTACTCCAACCATTCAGGTCTTTCGTCTGGAGGCCTCTCAGCATGGGGTGCTGTGTCTCAAACCTCAAGGGCACAAATTATTTCTTGAGCACCAGTGATAGACCCACAGCCCCAAAGAGGTAATGGAATAAGAGAGCTCCTGCCTTTCAGAGTTCGATAATGCAGTTGAATAGTATCCGACTTTTTAAAATCATGAAGTGTGAAACTGTATGGAGTAGGAATTGCTGAAGTAAAATGGAAAGGGTTAACTGAATCCTGGCAAATGAAGAAAATCTCTGTGAAATCTGTAGGGGGCAGGGCAAAATAGCTCACCCAGCCCTTGCATTGCAGCGGGGCCCATGAAGGAGGGACCACTCCTTTCTTTACAAGTGTGATTTGAGCTTCAGCAAGTTGAACGGAGGTCCTCTTGAACCTCTCAGCTTGAGATACTGTATCTGAACATGTCTTGGATCATCGATTTCTTCCAGTTTGTAAAGGCAGTGTTGTTACAGAGCTGCCAGCACAGGCCGTGGCTTCCCCTCCACCTGCCCCCACTACAGATGTAGTCCATGGCAGAACGGACTCTGATCAGGAAGCTAAGAGCCAAATGTGTGCTTTCCATACACAGTTCCTCTCTTATGGATGTGAGCAAGCAGTGAGTGCTCCTGGGAAGGAAAAACGTAGGTAAGGAAATAAGAATCAGCCTTAATTCTTTGTCTCAGGTATAGGCCATTGTTAATATTGTGGTCTACATTCTCCCTGATTATTTTCTATGCATAGATGTGAAATACATACTTTGCGTTTTTAAAACATGGAATTGCACTATGTGTTTATAAGTGGTTTTAATAAACGAACATTTATGGCATACTTTTTAATGACAAAATAGCACTCCATTTTCAAATGTGGCATCTTTTATTTATTTAACTATTACTCAGGATTTAAGTTTCCAGCTTTTCACTACTGTAATAACGCTGCCAAAAGTCTGCACACAATTTTGTTTCTTTAGGATAAAAACTGTAAAATTACTGAGTCAGTCCCTACATTCACTGAGCACTCCCCTATTTTCACATCAGTTAAAACTGGTGTGCCTCCCCTCACACACTGTTGGTGGGAATGTAAACTGGTACAGCCCCTCTGGAAAACAGTGTGGAGGTTCCTAAGGAAACTAACAATAGAACTCCCCTATGACCCAGCAATAGCACTGCTAGGAATTTACCCAAGGGATACAGGAATGCTGATGCATAGGAGCACATGGACCCCAATGTTCATAGCAGCACTCTCCACAATAGCTAAAACATGGAAAGAGCCTAAGTGTCCATCAACAGATGAATGGATCAAGAAGATGTGGTTTATCTATACCATGGAATACCACATGGCAATGAGAAACAATGAAATCTGGCCATGTGTAGCAACATGGATGGACCTTGAGGGTGTTATGCTGAGCAAAATAAGTCAGACAGAGAAGGACAAATATCATATGTTTGCACGTATAGGAGGATTAGGAGGAACTTGACGGAGGAACAAGGGGGAGAAGAAGGGGGGAAATGGTGGGGGAAAGGGAGAGAGGCAAACCATGAGAGACTCTTGGATGCTGACAAAAACTGAGGACTGATGGATGTGGGGGGGAGGGAGGATGGGCATGGAGGAGGACACTTGTGGGGATGAGCACTGAGTGTTATGTGGAAACTAATTTGACAATAAACTATTTGTAAAAAAAAAAAAAAAAAAAAAAACCTGGTGTGCCTTGGGGCACCTGGGTGGCTCAGTCGGTTAAGCATCTGACTTTGGCTCAGGTCATGAACTCATGGTTCGTGGGTTTGGGCCCCGAATTGGGTTCTGTGCTGACAGCTCGAAGCCTGGAGCCTGCTTTGGGTTCTGTGTCTCCCTCTCTGCTCCTCCCCCACTCGTGTTCTCTCTCTCTCAAAAATAGGGAAATAATCTTTTAAAAAACTGATTAGTGCTTTCTTGCATCACCTTGTCTCTTTTTCTTTTGTGGTAACAGATGAACTGATATTTCTCTCATAAGAAAGCATAAAACCTTCAGACTGTGGCTGAGGTAAAATATACTGCTGAAAAGTACCCAAATACCAAGTGTACAGCAGCTCCGAGATATCATTATGTGAACACACTCAACACAGCCAGCACCAGGTCAACAGAGAACTTTCCCTGCCTTCCTGAAACTGCTTTGCGCAACCTTAATTTTTAAACACAAAAATTGTTTTAAGGAACACAAATCAAGAAGAAAAAGTGCCCCAAATGTGAAAAGCAGTTGAAGATTCCCATTCGAAACATCCCGTAAGACAAAGTTCTTCCCTCCCCAAGTAGAGCCAGCTGGCCAGAACCAGACTCCACCCCAGGCACTGAGACACAGCTCAGGACTGGCTCCAGGCTCAGAGCTGCCTATGGAAGCTGTCCCTGGGTCCCCTGAAAAGGGTGACAAGGAGCATCCAGCCTCCTCATGGGAGAACGTGAGAGGCTGGCTGTGGAGGGCCAATGTCACGAAAAGGGCTTTCTCTCTTCCACTTGCAGCTGAGGTAAGGAGCAGCTGGGAAGCCACACTGGGGAGGCTCCAGAGAGGGTTCAAGACTTACTGATTTTTTTTCATACCCCCTAAAAGGAGTTTCACTTACCACAACTAAGATGGTAAACACTACTTTGGGTCTTAGAAGTCTCAAGATAGGAAAAGGTATGCATTCGAGTTGGCGCTTAGGACCGGAGAGAAAGTAGAAAAATAATCTGCAGGCTGAGGCCTTGAGCATGTTCAAGGGCGGGCTGCGAATTTAGGCTCAGGGCTCTCTGGCGACCACAATGTCCTGCCATTCATCCTGCACAGGTACAAGGAGCACCTGATGGTTCAAAGCTGGCAGCCTCAGGTCCAGATCATAGTTTGCTTACCAAGGTCTAGCCTGAAGCATTGGTTCCAAAATTCCCTCAGGGGGACGATGCCCACAAAGCATTCTTTGGACCCTGAAAAACAGAAAGTAGAGAAATAACTTCTCTTTTATGCAGTTAACTTGGTAACAGTTGGCTGGAAACCAGCTTCAAGGTGGTTCATTTAACATTTATTCACTCAACAAAAATATACCCCATTGGCAGAAGGAAAAAAGTCAGAGAACTTTGTCATTTCTTTCTCCGGTTGTGACACTGCTCTTCAGAGATCCCACCCCTACACTTGAGCATCCCCCATGACTCTTCAACCACTGGGACGGGGAGAAGTCTCTCTTTTTCACCAGTAAGAACTCCCCCTTCCTCCAGCCCCGGGGCTGGTGTGCAAATACTTCCCCACACACGGTTTTGTGACCACCACGGGAAGGTACCACCTAAGCTGCTCCTAAAAGCAGGCTTGAGCTATGTTTCTCCACCAAAGGGAGTTGAAGGAGGCCATGACTGCCTTAGATTAAGTTAAATGCAGAGACTGTGAAGGCAGCTTCCTGGCTCTGCCTACTTCATGTGTTCTCTAGCAAGCGCTTATGGCCTCAAAACCTTGGTCTCCCCACTTGTAAAACAGGGGTAATGACAGCCTCTACCTCAAAGGTTGTTGGGAGGGGTATAGGAGTTCAAATGTATTTTTAAGCTCCTGGAACATAGTAACAAAATGTATTCGAAAAACAAATGTACTGCATTTTTCAAACCCGGTGTAGTACCTATTATACTCTGAATGCAGCCACCTGTCCGATTCTCCCAATTCCCAGTCTCAGAAAGGGGCACACAGTAACCACTTCTGACAGATACACATTTATGTACGTACCCAGGGATCTCAGCATCCCAGTGCTAGGGAGGACAGCCCTTCCTGCGCAGCTCACCTCAGGAGAGCTCACTCCCAGATACACTGAGCCTTCACACTGTCATTGAAGCTCCCCTCAGCCTCACATCCTGAGTGCCACCCCCTGCACACACCCCCACCCCCACACTGTAAGAGAGCTCTACTGTCCTTAGATAACGTCAGCAGACCAGAAAGAGCCTGTGCTCTACCATTTTGTCATCTTGGCACCTACTGAAACCCCACCGCTTTGGGCAACCTCACTTTTGCAGGCCAGTTACTAATTATTTTCTGCTCTCCCTTAGGTGGTTGTGATCTGCAGATGTCACTTGTTCTTATGTTTTATTGACTGAAATAAAATATTAGCTACCAGTTATTTAGCACTCACCATTGGCCCGGTATCTCATTTGAACCTCATCAGAACAACGAAGTAGGAACTTTTACCGTTCTTCTTACAGATGAGAAAACTAAGGCAACCGCACAGGAAGTTTGGATCATTTGCTCAAGATCACCCTAGAACTTGGTAGGATCAAGGTTTGAACTCAGGTCTAATCCTGTAGCCCAAACTCTTACCTACTGTGCTATACTGAGTCTCTTATCATCTGCTTTTTTAATAGTTATTTATTTTTGAGAGAGAGAGACAAAGAGAGACAGAGAGAGACAGAGAGCTGCAGAGGGGCAGAGAGAGACACAGAAGCTGAAGCAGGCTCCAGGCTCTGAGCTGTCAGCACAGAGCCCAATGCGAGGCTCAAACCCACAAACCATGAGATCATGACCTGAATCCAAGTCAGATGCTCAACTGACTGAGCTACCCTGGTGCCCCCCCACCCCTTTTCTTCTTAACTCTACTATAGTTAACACACAGTGTTAGTTTCGGGTGTACAACATAGTGATTTGGCAACTCAATACACTACACTATGCCACCACAAGTGTAGCTATCATCTGTCACCATATAATGTTTTAACAATATCATTGACTATATTCCCTGCATTGTTTTTAATTTTAAAATTAGGTGAATAAAACATTTACAAGTTCTCTAAAGCTCTCTGTAAGCACCCCAAACCAATGTGGTTTTTTTTTCCCACTTATGCTGCCCAAGGTAGAAAACGAAGGTCACCACCTGCTCTGAAATCAAATGGGAAAGAGTATGTTCTAGAATAAGAGTAGAGCAGGGATCCTGTCTGACGTGAGAGTGAGGGCTCTGCTTCTAAAATATCAAGAGGGGCCAAGAAATGCAGCTCACAGCGATGGCTCAGGGGTAGCTAACTCTTCATTTGTCTAATATCTTAGTGCAGGTGAAGTCTGCACCGACTGCTGGTGATGGTTTAGTCCTTTATGTGAATGAAATGGCCCTTGTTTCCTGGCTAAGATGCAGAGTGCAGGGTGGTAGAGATCGCAGGTTGCTTTCCTAGTGATCATTCTCCCTTTCTTCCTTACCAGCAGAACCCTTATGGTATTACAGTTGGTGACGTGCCCAGACATTTCCCAGACTTGCTTGCAGCTGAGTGTGGCTAGTAAGTCATTGGCTGAGCTTGCAGGAGACTCTTCAAAGGGGCTGACTTAACTGCTAGCTTCTTTTCCCACCCCCTCCCTCCTCCTTCCTGCCTAGAACAGTTATATGTCTAACAAAGAGGTGAAACTGAGGCCACACATTAAGGTTGTGAAGGACAGGAGCCTGGGCCCCTGAAGGCATGAAGCCACCATATAAACCCTAGACTGTCTACTCCTCACATGCCACTCAGTGGTACACACTAGTCAAGTCAAAGGCCATCCACCCAAATTTCCTGAACTACTTCTCAAAGCTTTTGTGACAATTTAATAATTTTCTGTGCAATTCCTCTTTAGGACTAATTGAGTAGCTCACTAATCTAAAATCACCAAAAAGCAACAGGGCCTTAAGAATGAAAGGAAACCAAAAATGCCTTTCTAACCTGTTCAGAAACTCCCAAAATGATTAGTCTTGAACACTGACAAATAACAAGTTTCCTTTTAAAGAACACTTTTCATTTAGAGGGGAAACATCAAAGTCCTTTCCTTGAATGGCGGCCCTTGCACGGTGGCTGAATGCAGTCTTCAAAGGGAGTTAAGAAGATCCCTCCTGACTAGAAACTGGCAGAAAATCATACAACCCATGTAGTGTAGAGACCAATATATGGAGAGTGTGAAGTCAGAAATTCACCCTTCTAGAAAATGTAGATAACAGTAAGAATTGGGAGTACATTTTAGAACACCAGGGCAAGGAAGCCCATCATTTGAGAGAATGCACCATAAACTGGGTCTCTGAATTACAAAAGGGTTTTGAGCGCTAACATTTTATGATAAAAATATTTTGCTGAATTTTCTTCATTATATTTCACACTCGTACATTATCTTAGTCTTCACTGAGGAGAGACCAAGTTTGTCTTGTTCACCATTCTATTCCCAGCACCTCACTTTAATTGCCTACTGTACTGGCCTCCCCTGATCTAACCTCATCCCCTCCCCAGCTGCCTTTCATCCTGCTGTAGCCAGATTGGGCCTTAAAAATATACAACTGACGGGGTATGTGGATGGCTCAGTTGATTAAGCATCTGACTCTTGATTCCGGCTCAGGTCATGGTCTCATGGTCTGAGATTGAGCCCTGTGTTAAGGCTCCAGACAGAGCCTGCTTGGGATTCTCTCCCTCTCTGCCCATCTCCCACCCATGTGCAGATGCTCTCTCTCTCAAAATAAGTGAACATTAAAAAAATACACAACTTACCACATCTCTCCCTTCTCATCCCTTCCATTGTCCTCCAGTATGTAAGTCACTGGTGCGAATTAACCTCACTATGAGGGCTTTGGGGCTCTACCTACCAGCAGTCCCTAAGCTGCAGGAGAGCAAGGCCTCTGTGTTCTCTCAATGCCTGGCACTTAAAAAAAAAAAAAAAAAAAAAATCCCATGCTGAATGACTGAAGGTGCCATATCATTGTATGTTAGATGTTTTCTGCATTTAACATACATACATCTGTTTGAGTTATTAAACAAAAGGATTCTATTGCACAAGCCAGTATCTAGCACGAAACACTGGCTTTCCCAAGGAAACTCAAAATTCTGTCACATAGGAGCTCATGTCTAGGCAGTACTTAAAAGGTTTAGGTATGTTACATTTGTTAGCATAGAAGATTCACAGGAGTGTTAAGAAACACCCCACTACAAGGAGAAGTCTTGGAAAAGGTTTTTTTTTTTTTTTTTTTTTTTAAGAATGAGTATAACACTACTGTCATTCATACACATATTGACAGATTTCAAAGTAGCTTTGTGAGTGGATCATTCTATCATTGTCCCTTAACGCACGGTTTATAAAAAACTGTGGATCTCGACCCATTAGCAGGTCATAAAATCAACTTAGAGACTTGGTGAACATTAATAAATCGAAAGTATCAGTGTTCCACACTTCAGAAGCATTCGTTTTGCAAAACTTGTTTCAGAACTATAAACTTTGTGTGTATACAGGGTTCTGAGATTTCCTTACTGGCTGCCACAAAACAAAGTGTGTCTGTCCTCTGTGAGAGGGTGAGGGCCACCAAGCTACTGTTGGGTCTAAGGGTAGGTTTCCAGTCTCTATCTTGCCATTACAAAAATCCACTGTTTTCCATCTTTGGTGAGCATCCTTGCCCATTTTAGTGGGTAGGGGATGGGAAATGTATTTTGCCATGCTGCAAATACAACACTCCTTTCAACTACCTGGGTGCTTAAAGAAATACACTGATTTTTAAAATAACTATACTAAAAAACAGAGTTCAAAACACACTAAACTGAGTCTTTCTTGAGGACTCAGGTCTTAGTCATCAAAAAAAGGGTAAATTTTGTCCAGTGGGTGTGATCCTTACTTTGGAAAAGAGGGAGCATCCGAGAGGCGCCTCATTAGGGAAGCCAGTTTTCTCACGAGCATGTAGATTCTGATTCAGTAGATCTGGGCTGAAGCCTGAGATTTCGCCTTTCTCACAAGCTCTCAGGTGATGCTGATGCTGCTACAGACTCCACTTTTGAGTCCTAGGGAGCCCCATGTGCTGCAGGGATAGGCAGTGAGATCTATGGCAGGCCAGCCAGGCCTCACCTATATACCACCTGGGCCACTAGCTCCAAATGCAATGGGGTGGGACCCAAGCGAGGTCCCACACTTGTTACCAAGTACAAAACACTCTAAAATCTCCCATAAGAATGAGTCTTTAAAAATACACAAAAGCAGCACTCAGAGATTCTTGGGCTCCACCACCTTAGCTTGTCACTGACCAGGACAGACGACTGAGCCTGCTTCTCCCTGGCAATGCTGACTGTGCATGCCCGACTCCACTGGCTGCCCGAGTACGGCTGTCCCAGGGCTCCTCTTCCAGGTCACATGCGACCACTCCTGCCAAAGGGTCCCGGCTATGCACAGGGTGCAGGAGTCCGCAATCACTGATGTGAGCCTGTCCTAGGAACTGGGGATAGTGCCCGGCCACTTCGTCTTCTTACACCGCTAGTGGCACACAACAGGATGGGATGGAGACAGACAGACTTTCTTAAATTCTCTGCATGCAGGCCCTTAGCAAACGCAGGCAGCAATGTCCTCTTCTTACAACTGACGCCTCCATGCTCCCCCACCCCCGTACCTCTGTCACCTGTCACATTTATACAGACGGGTTCCACAAAAACACTTTTTAAATGTGCATTTCTTTAATTTTTAAAAATATACACAGGAGAAGCCATGTGTTTTACATAGGAATACACGCATTAACAAAGCATTTGTTATAGTTTTCCAAAACTCTATTATATCAGTCTGAAATTTATAAATTAAGTATAGCAGAACTTTTAAAGTCAAAATGAAATCCCTGAAACTACTTGATATGGTGACTTTTTCCAAAACCAAATGAACAGAGAATATGAATATGGTTTGTGTTAAATAAGGTTTATTGTTAGCTTTATTGCCTATAGTCTATAAGATGCAACTTTATTGTGCCTTTGCAAACAGGATACATTTCTTAAAAAACTGATCAAAATTTTCCATACATATAGCTCTATATGATAGATTACAGTGCAACACTATTTTTGTTACATAATTATAGAAATACTATAGAACCCAAGAGCACAGCGTAAGCAAAAGAAATACAATCCTGAGCCATCTGAACAAGATGATTTTTAATGAATCCTTTTAGTGTAAGTTTAGAAAACACGGAGGAAGAGGAGGAGGAGGAAGAGGAGAAAAAATAAGGTACATGCACACTGCAGTCATGAGCAAAATACATTAAATACCTGTTCCTTGCTAGACACAGGTGGGGGGTAATGGTGAATTTCAGACACATGCATACACACTCACACTCCCACCTACTCCTGCTTCCCTCCCATCCCCAGTACATTCACTCCCACCCCTTCCCCAAAGAAAAGATCAGGCACTAAATCCTAGTGAACCCCACATCTGCCTTGCTGGAGAACGTGAAGGGACTGCTAAAATAAGAGTAGAAAGCCTCACCCACAACATGAAACAAAGCATGTGCCGTAAGCCCATTCCAGCTGCTTTTGCCTCTTTGGAAGTATACGAAGCATATGCTCACTACAGTTTACAACTGTAGAGGGAAAGGTCTTGAAAACAAAACTCTTGTTTTCCCCCATCCCCCCGAAGTAAAATCAACAGCGGAAAACTCACCCTAAAACTAACTGCCTCATCTGCTATTAAAATACATTTGTCATTCTATTTTTGGTATCTATTCAATCGTAGTTCATTAAGAACAGTTCATGAAGTTTGTACCTGCTCATGGTAAACACTACCGTACCACATAAAACCCACCACGGCTGGACAGGCTTATGAAGCACCAGACCTTCTACGTGGGTCTTCCTTGCTAACATTCACTCAAGACCACGGCATTCTAGTGTTACCAAGGATAATGTACGTAGAGTTAAGTAACGAAAGGTATTTGGTTTGTGTCTTCACCTTACACATCCTGGTGATGCAATTAACCAAACCATGCCTTCCCTGAAAATAACCTGAGTCAGCTGACTAAGCAAACTGACCAGCTCGACTGTCAGTCCACTAATCAGAGGTTGAGCTGGAAAACCAGAGGGCTAATGCCTACCAGCAGCTTGTCTTGTGCGGATAACCAAGAGTTCTTGGTTTTTGCAGTATCTATCGTCCCAAAGGCTGAACCACTGAGGTGGAAAGAACTCACAGCATCTAGAATACTGAACGAACTACATGGCCTGTGGGACTGCCTGGACAGAAAAGAGGATCCTCATTCCCCACAGGACTTGCTGTGGGTTTTAGTGTCTCTGTGTACATCAGCTGCTATAGAAAAAAAAAAAAAAAATCAAAAGATTAACTCCATAACTTTCTTATTTTCAGTTAAAAGCTCATACACTCACAAAATACTCACACACCCTATGAATATGAGGTGGCTCTTTAACATTTTTAAAATCAAGAGGCACCAATACCCGTTCACTTATGTATTAGAAGTCTCACAGAATCACCACCAAAATGACAGAAATGGCATTTGTGATGATCGCACAAAGGAGAAAAAAGATTGAAAGACACTTAGCCGCTGTACTTCAGGCTGTGCTTGAAAGCACAGACGCTCTGGCTAAATCATATTCTAAGGTTCTAATAAGGTCTTCTTGGTTTCGCATAGTCCCATGGCCTTTGTCCGTGACTGATAAATGGAATGGTCCCTAAAAATTGAGGAAACCACTCTGCAATTCTGTTTCCGGTGTATATTATTATAATTAGTCTGACCAGAAGAACACCCTTGGCTCTGCCATGGCCTTCTGCAAACGGAGGCAGAGTGTGGCGAAGAGCCCCTCCTGCACTGCTGACTAACAGCCGTGCAGTAAGGTCCTGCAGCCACTGGCAAAGGGGTTTCCAGAGCAGAAAGGACCACATGTTGTATTTCAGCATCTTTGGTTAAGGTCTGGCCTTGTCACATCCGCCTCTCCTTCCCATTTAGTCACCAATGTTTTTAAGTGCATGCCTTTAGTTAAAGGTCACAAGACATAATTTTCATGTCAAATCAAGAGTTTCAAATTTCTGGCCCCACCCTGCCCCGTAGGGCCATTAAAGGCCTTACACAGGAAACTGTCAACAGGATTCCCAACACAGGGAGAGGAACAGAGCACTTTGTCCTTAAAAGTGGCCTTAGCCAACTATGTGAAGCGTGTGGCCCCCTAAAATATTTACCACCAGCCTCCAGAGCAACATCTATCTACACTGTACAAATCTTATGTGAAGCCTAAATGTTTCCTAAGTGTTTCAGGTGGAAAGGTGAGAATAAGAGTGGTGAGTAAAGCTAAATCTGGCCTAGTGAGAAAAAAAAAGTAAAAAAGCAAAACAAACAAACAAAAAAACTTCTGGATTTTAATTCAAAGGAAAATACCTGTTTTACATCCTCAGCCAGAGTTGCCTGGAATTCTCTACTTTCTCTTACGGAGTCCAATGAGTTTCTCTCTTCACTTCTTTACCAGAGAGAGGGGAAACTTTAGGGAGGGTTCCAATAGGAAAGCAGAAACTTTACATGGCTGAGGTCCCAGCAGGGCCAAGACTGAAGTTGGACAGAGCAAGCACCGTGCCTGGCTAACCTAACGCTGCCACAGCAGTCACCCGGAAGCCTGACCACACACAGCAGTCGAGCAGGCTTCTCCTGCAGGTACCCCTTTGCTTTAGGCGTGCCCCTGCCCTCCCAGACAGACATTTCAGGACAAACCGCCTGGTCCGGTATGGGCTGGTACACTACTGCAAATGGCGGACACTTCCCAATGAACTCAGCACCAAACCTGTTGTCTCCCTCCCTGCAGAAGAAACCAATCTGCAGTTTAAAACACAAAGTGTCCTGGTCCTCTTTACTTGTGTGTTTTCTTCTTCCTTCATTTTCTCATCAAAGTTTTCCTATATTGACGTTCAGTTCCATGTCAGATGAAATCAAGTTGCAAAACATTTGGTGATTTCCAAAGAACATTCTTCTCACGATGAAGTGACTTAACACGCTTAAGTCAGAAGTATGTCCACAGAAGTCCTTTCCATGTAGTTCGTTCATCATATAGAAAAAGACTCTTACACATGGCTATTTCTGGACAGTGCATTAAACAAAGATACCTCACAAGAGAAAAGGTCATTATCTGTATTCATTAGAATAATATACAGATTCACAGTCAATGAGATGATACACTTTGCAGAAGAGAGGCATTGAACAGTATACTATTCAAATACAAAAACAGCAATAAACATATCCTGCACTACAGAAAATATGCTAACTTCTAACTTTAAGGATTTAAAGTAATGACTCTGGTAACTGCATTTGAGGACTGGAACATGCTTCTTCCCTTCCAGGGACACAATGTTTGATGCTGGTGCACATATATACACACACACACACACACACACAACACTGTGTCTGCAATGATGTATAAAGAAACAGACAGCCAAGTCCTGAAGGCAGATTTCTGAGAATAGGGCTACCAAGAGAGCAAATATTAACTTAAGAACACCTCTAACTTCAGAATTTCATTTTATTGAACACACTTTTAAAACAAGCACCTCTTGGCAATAAAAGCAAAGAAACAATAGTTTCTTCCACTCTGTTCTAGTGGAAGACTTCTCACACCAACCTGCTAAATTCATGATGGAATCAGAAACAGGCAGCCCCCTGGGGCTGCACGCAGAGCTCAAATGCAGGTCTGCTAACTTCTCGGGAAGAGCTGGAGCAGAGGAAAACATCAAAAAGCAAACTGGGAAATCTATCACAGTTTTCTTCCTTAAGCAAAACAAATGCAAATTAGTTTTATAACCACAATTCAGTTTTTCAAACTTTTTCTGAAGAATTTTCATTTAATTTTGTATACATAACAGGAAGTAAAACTTTTTCACAAACATTCTCAAACCTCACAATTATCAAGAAATGACTAAAGTAAAAGCAGGAGAAATATTAAACACATGGCAGGGAGGTTGATTTCTGTTTCTGCTCTTAAAAAGTAAAAAAATCACCATATAATTAAGTACAAAAACCTGCATTGAATGACAACTGCTGGTGTATTTACTTGATCAAAAATGAAGACCAAGAATATAATAAAGCCCTATGATAATATTCATCTGGAGCACTCCCCTCAGTGTGTGTACACTAAAATGTTGGCAAAGTTTCTGGAGCATTAGCTTATATAAACACGGGAGTCCTCAGTTAGCTGCATTAAATGGAACGTTCTCTTCTGAAATGCGCCACAATTCAGTTTCACTTACAAATTGCAAATTAAAGTTATTTCTTCAGAAAAATATCTGTTTGGCATCTCCTGGACTTTGTTCCATTGGACAATATGGACATTTTAATCTAAAGACAAGAAAGAAAACACTGAATCAAGGAACAGGATCAGTACTGCGCATTCGATTTTCCTCTACAGAATGTCAATGTCTTTAACAATTACACACTCTTCCACACACACACAAAAGTCTGCATTTTGTTTTGAAGGTTAACTGTGGTTTCCCTTATTATACCTGTCAAGCTCAGAAGGCTCACAAATAAATACCAATCAAGCCAGATGCTAAACTGAAGGCTTTCCTTCAGTGGAAGTGAGTGAAAACTGTTTTGTAAACAAAGCAAGTTTAAAAACTGCATTTGCGGTTTCAAAAGTAAGCCCAATTCTCCTCCTCCAAAGTTTAGCTTGTGACCATCTTTAAATAAGCTTCAAATGTACTGGTCACACGGTACACTCAAGCGCAGCAAATCCGACACCAGCAGCCAAGCCTAGAAGGCATGCTGCCCACCAAGAAGGGGCCCAGAACCAGCAGGGTCTAGTCACCAGCCATCTGCGCCCCCAGGGTTGCTGAGTGGTCTGGGAAGGATACAAACAGCTTCATTACATGCCAAGACCTTCTTTCAAAAGAAAGACTTCACCATAATGGGTCTCAAATGAACTCCAATGAAAAATGTTCTAACTGCCTAAGCTAGAAATAGGCTTTTGCAATTTTTTTTAAAGTTCGGCTCATTATGGGTATAAAAATAAATGTATATACTCTCCAAATTAGCGATGCCAATTCTACAATTTATGTATCACATGTAGATAAAGTAATTTGCTTTAAAACAATAAAAGTTACATGTTCATTGACAGGGAACTGGTTAAATAAATTATCATACTTCCGTATGGCAGAATACTCTGCAGCTTTAAAAAAGAATGAGGGCTCTTTCGGTAGCATATAGAAGACCTTCAAGATACATCATTAAGTAAAAAAAAGCAAAGTTGAGAACCATACATAGAATGTTACCATTTGTGTAAAGGCAGAGGGGAAAATGACAATGTAGTGCCTCCCCAAAAGGTAAGATCATGCTTATAAATGTAACCACCAAATTCATGAACAAATAAAAAGATTGACCAAAGAAAAGAAAAAAAAAAATCAGATACCACCCTCCAACTAAGATTCAAATGAAATTTTTCTTGGCCAACATTTAAAGAATCACTTACTTGCTACCATTAAACATTTTATTCAGGGCATCTCTTGATATAATATGACCACAGACCAGTTTCATGGGTGGATTGTTATCTGTTGTTTGCTGACGAAGAATGGGACAGGCAAATATAGAGTGATACCAGCACTTTTTACCAAGGTCCACTTCAATCTTAAAAAAAGTAAAAAGGCTCAAGTTATATTTCAGAAAACCATCTCATGTCAATATGTATGCACTGGGAAGCAAAAACAGTTATCAGCCTACCCATCCACATGTAACTTCTTACAGCACTCTTACCTCAAAGACGGGTAGTCTTAGGGATTCAAACGCTAATTCTAATTAATCTTCAAGATTATTTATAACACTACTTTTCAAACCAAATTCTGATGTCTGAGGAGTCAAACAGAAGGCACTGCTCTAGATGCGAAACACTCCTGAAAATTTGTCAGGATGTATACATCCTAAGAGCAAAACCCACAGAAACCCTGTTTTGTAGCACACTTACGTAGGTGGTAAAATTCAGTGTAATAATTCCTTTAAAGGCAGACTAAACAAGGCTTACTTTTATGCAAGCTTCAGACCTGAGTTTCCCATGTTCTGTGCATAATGGTCCAGAGAAACCATCTGAAACAAGAACTTTAAGCTCGAGTTCAGCAAGGCCTCTCACAATCTGGACATGAGAGCCCATGGCAGGTGTATCAGTCATTTCTCTTTACAGGGAACAAAACAAACAAAAGCTCTGAAATCACCTAGCAAGAGGTTGGCACAGTGGACTCCACAAATGTTATTTCTTTTTGTTTTCTTTCTTTCTAAAATGGTTATCAGTATAAAGTCTATTACCCAGACTCTTTCAAGAATGCTGGCAAAGTATAACAGAATAATCCTGAGAAATAATGGCCTCATCATCACCATGCTTTACTACCCCAACACACAGGTGTTAGGTGAATTCAGATGTCAGAGATGCACGTAGCGCAGCTGGGAAACTGCCAGATTCCCGCAGGCACCTTCCTCAGCAAAGCAAGTGAAGGCTCAAGTTCTTTTCACCGTTCAAATGAGCGGCAGTCAAGCAGGGGCGCTGCCTGTATCCTGCCCACACTCAGGACTGGGAATGCACCTGTGCCTTTAATCAAAACAGATCTCTGAGGAGGGGCTGGGGCCGCCAACTGACAGGGTCACCAGCTGGAAGGTGACTGCGAATGAACCTGTGCACAGGTGTGGCAGACAAAATGCGAAGCCAAATGCATATTTAGCCTTTTAGGATCTGTGACACAACCGTGACAGGCATGACAACTGCAGTCCAAGTTTTAGTGCTTCCTGTCAGAGGTCACATGCAATGACCTTTGTCACTCAATATCATAACTACTATGGCAGCAAAACTGGAGTCCCTACTATGTGTTCCATATTATTCTACAATACCAATGTTATCTCTAGTCTTTAACAGCCCCATAAAGAGAAGGATGGTACCCATTTTAGAGATGGGACAACCTACTGCTTAAGAGAAGTTAACAGAGTTGGCAAGTGACTGAGGTGGAGGCCAGTGGACACACAGCACTGGGAGAGCCACTGATGACTGCGCGTGTTCCAGGAACAATCTTTATTTTAGCAGCGATGTGCTTATTTGAATTCAGCACAAACCCATGATTTCATAAATATCAATGCTTAAGGCAAAACTAAATTCAACCAACTGACTCATGCTTTTCTATTTTAAAAGATGGTGCTATGAGCAGTGTGTCGGGGGCACTGCAGAACACACAGCATGCCAGGGCACAGGCCCCACAGACCACATTCACCGCCACTCTTTGTCAAAATTGTATTCGTTTTTTTCTCAGTCAAAATTAAAAACAAAAAACTCCAGTGGCTCCAAAATGTCCTAGCTCCCCATTTCTGTTGTTTTTAATCATGTCTCCACATAATACACAAGAATCCTGGCTGAATGGATACAATAATATTCTCTCGTTAAAAGGCAAAACAGCCATTTTAAACCCTTAGCATCCTCGATTCTTATAATGGCGGGAAAATAAACTAATAACCAACAGAAAGTGGAACTCACAGGTAATTCATCCTTCTGGTTCCAGACTCCAGTGCACTGCCTCTGTTCTATCACAGCTTTGATATTAATTAAAGCTGGCAGCGCCACACAACCTGCTGAGAAACTGGGAGAGCAGAAGAGGACATGTCAGTGCCGGGCCACGTGTCGGACAGCTTGGTCCTAAGAAACGTCAGTTCCCCCAGACTTCATGTGCATGGGTTCCTGGCCACTGGACAGGATGCAATGCCCTCTGCTTTGTTAAATTAATACAAAAAAAAAAAAAAAGGCTCTAAAATTTGCAAAACCACCAGATTCAGTGGGCTCTGCTTATCCATCACTGATGACATCTTGAAACAGCTTCTTGCTCAGTTCCTTCTAGACCAGGATGCCCCTGTCGAGGGCAGAAATGCTCATTCTCAGACCTGGAAGGGCTCACAGTTGTCTCTCAGCAGAGTCCCTCTTCAGGACTGCCATCAGCTGAGGCAAGTCACCTGACCGGGGTCACATCTGATGACTGCTCTGGGTGAGGATACAGAAGCCCAGCTTGTCGCTCCAGTTTGGGGCAGCTTCACAGGCCCATCGTGGCACCAGAGCTCCTCAGGGATGGGCTGAGGCCTCTGATAAGACCACATCGCAGCCCAACTTACCCTCTGTCTAATCCTGCTGCTTTCATTCTGCCACAGGGGTTCATCCTAACAAACTTCCTGCATGTCAATTTCCACTATTTCACACTCGGTTTCCCCAGAGAACCTAACCCCGGCCTGGTGATGCATTATAATGAACTGCCTCCATGTTTCCTATGCTCAGATGGAACGCCCCATGGAAGGCAGAATGTACCTTATTCACCTTTGTAGCTCACACAGTGCCTGGCACAGAGCAGGGGTTCAAAACACTTGAGGAATTAAATAAATAGGAGAGCTAAAGAAGTTCATAAACTTCTTGTTTTCAAGACCCACTCACATGCTTAGATATTAAGAATCTCAAAGGCACTTCTTTTTGTCGGTTACAGTATTTGTATTAGAAATTAAAACTGAAACATTTAAAAAATATCAATTCATTTAAATACTAAATATATCACGTTATAAATAACATTCTTACCAAAAAACAAAACCTCTGTATTTTCCAAACCAAAAATTATGAGAAGACTGGCATTGTTTTTACATTTTTACAAATCTCTTTATGCCTAGCTTTATAGAAGACAGATTCTTCTATCTTCTGCTGCATTCAATCTGTTGCAATGTGTTCTTTTGATTGAAATAAACGGGAAAAAAGTCTAGCTTTAAACAGATAGGTAGTAATTTAATTGCCTTTTCAGATATGTGATATTCTTCTTGAATGCCACACCAAAGCTCAATAAGTAGTAGTTTCTTAAAGGTTAGTTGCAAAGTGGAGTGTGAATCCTTACCACTGAGGTTTTTTGTATCCTGCTACGTTAAAATCCAATTGCGTGATTTTATAAGATCACAGTGAAATACTTAATCTTCTAAGTGTTAACACATTTCATTACATAAGATCAAAAACATCAAATTCATTAATATTGCCAATCTCATCAGGAAAGTATTGGGAAGAGACGCCTGGGTGGCTCAGGCAGTTAAGAATCCGACTTTGGCTACAGTAATGATCTCACCGTTCATGAGTTCCAGCTCCACATGAGGTGAGCTCGAGTCCCACTGCAGGTGCACCATCAGCACAGAGCCTGCATGGGATTCTCTCTCTCCCTCTCTTCGCCCCTCACTCACCTGTGCACTCGTTTGCATGCTCTCTCAGATAAATAAGGGAAGGAAGGAAGGAAGAGAGGGAGGGAGGAAGAACAATATTGGGAAGCTGTCAAGCTCACAGTGGCAGATACAGGTTTTCCAAAGTTTCTATTTTAGCTTAAACTCATGAATTTAAAAGATACAAAAGGATATGGTAAGTTGCTTTCCTTGACATGACAGACTCCATACATGTGAAAAAATACGTACCAAAAACTTAAGTATAACTAACTGTAGTGATTCTAATTTTTTTTTTAAATATTTATTTTTGAGAGTGAGAGAGATAGCACGCAAGCAGGGGAAGGGGAGAGATAGAGAGGGACACAGAATCCGAAGCAGGGTCCAGGCTCTGAGTTGTCAGCACAGAGCCCATCACAGGGCTTGAACCTACAAACTGTGAGATTATGACCTAAGCCGAAGTCAGACACTTAACCGACTGAGCCGCCCAGGAGCCCCAAATGTAGTGATTCTTTCAAGTCAGAACTGGTTTCATGAAAAAAACAACTAGTGGGGGAGCCTGAGTGGCTCAGTCGGTTGACCGTCCCAACTTTGGCTCAGGTTATGATCTCAGTTGGTGAGTTCAAGCCCTGCATCTGGCTCTGTGCCGACAGCTCAGAGTCTAGAGACTGCTTCAGATTCTGCCCCTCCCCTGCTCACACTCTCATTCTCTCTCTCAAAAATAAACACTTAAAAAACACAACAACTAGTGTATTAGCTCATAAAAATCAAACAATATACGGGTGTTTCCTGAGACAAGCAGGATACTTTGGCTTGACGCTGAAGTACTATACGAGAACTTCCCCCTTTGTCACACAGAATATTAAAAAGGTGTGTACTCAAAGGTCAAGATATAAAGAAACTAATGATTTTAAATGTCTTATCAAGAGCAATCTTAAAACTATTGTCTTAAACTGCACGTGTGTGGTGGAGTACAACGTGTGAGGAATATGGCAAGTCCTATCAGAGTCTGGGACTGCACCGCAGATCCTGTGAGCGAAGGCTCGAACAGTTTAATACACTACTGTTTCTGTACCATCTGTGGAAATACCAACACAGTGGAAAAGGCTCTTGGGGACCCCCAGAGGTTCACAGATGTCAGTGCTCTAAAACTGCTTCACGGCCAATTGGGATGATCTCCTGAAATACCAGCTGTACTCTTCTTCAGAAAGACCAATGTTCTCTTCAGGTTCAATATCAAAAACTAGACAAGAAATTAAGAAAAACAGAAGCAGGCAGTACATATTTCAATCGCAGGACCCAAGTCCATACCTGACGCTGAGTGGGGACTCCACCGAGAGCCCCAGGAGGGCACAGGCATCCCGAGTGAAGATGTCGCAGATGTCAGCCCATTGGTTTGCATCAAGTAGGTGAACATATGGTGAGTTCTCAATCCCCTGTCTCAGGTACACAAGGCTGCCCATCAAAACCTGAATGTCTAAACAAAAACAGCGATAATTTGGAGGTGTGAACGATCACACCTGAAATAGGGGCTGAGAAAGGCAAAAACATCCCCAACCGACATACCCTAGATTATTAACAATGTCTTTTAAAATTCTGGTCCTTAAGCTTGGTTTATCCCTTTATCCTAAATCAAAGAAACAACAGAGAGAGAAAGGCGAAGAAAAGGAAAACACTAAATATGAACTTCAAGTTACTTTACTCTTACGCACAGCACAGTAGAACTACAGTTATCTAGATGAGTAACGACAATGCTGTGAACGGGGCCACCACACATCTCTGGCTGTAGAACTGGCCAGGACTCCCACACTGACACTCGGTGTCCCTGCTGCCACCTGGTGCACCCTCAGACACTCTGTGGCAGAATGCCTGCATGCTTATTCTCATATCTCTTACATCTGGAATTCATAAAATGCAGTGTCTCCTGACTTTTCATCCAAGAGGCTTCAATGTTTTACTTCTGTTCTCAGTCCAATCAGTAATCTAATAATAATCTAAGTGATTATCATCTACAATTATTTTAGTTCCTTAGCAAATCGGTATTAGATCACCTTAAGATAAACTTAAGCCCCAGTGGTAGCTATAGGTCTGTTCCAATGAAAACACTTGACTCTAGACTCACCTTTTTGATGATTTAGGGCAAATGGCTGAAAATTTTTAGCATATTGTAATGCTTCTCGCTGATTTGTAGTTCCACCCATTAACAAGCTAATAAAATACAGTCTGTGTAGTTTAAATTCCAAGGAACTGTTCTGGGCTATGAGCATTTCTCGGTTTGATACTGCCCATCTAAAGAAAAAGCAGAAAAGATTTTAACAGTAATTCAGAGCAGGCAAAGAGTGTCAAAAATTCTTTGAAACCTAGCAGCACACAAAAAAGGGTTTGGTCTGCCACCTTGTGGAAATCAGTGGTAACATCAATCCCTTGGACCAGAGACTTCTGTAAAGAAAATAAACATAACTACATCAAAGAGGCACTTCAGGGGCACCTGGGTGGCTCAGTCAGTTAAGCGTCAGACTTCAGCTCAGATCATGATCTCATGGTTTGTAGGTTCAAGCCCCACATCAGGCTCTGTGCTGACAGCTAGCTCAGAGCCTGTAGCCTGCTTGGGATTCTGTGTCTCCCTCTCTCTCTGACCCTCCCCTGCTCACACTGTCTCTCTCTCTCTCTCTCTCAGAAATTAAAAAAAAAAAAAACAAAAAAACTTCAGCTAGTGAAAGTTAGAAAAAAATAGTAAGTCAGATGATAATTAAATATTTAGTAATGCTTTACACCAAGACAAGATGCACTCTGATGAGTCACATGACATATCTAGAACTTGTATATGGCACACTTTGAAGCAACTGTCAGCCATGAGATTCACTATTCAGTTGCCATATCCACCACTCTTTTCCTGTTAAACTGGCATGGCATATTGATAAGTGAATCACAGGATTCCAAACGGGAACCATCTATTTTTAGGCTTTTTGGGGGCACAAGATTTTGTGCTGCACACTTTGAGATTGAAAATAGTAAACAAGGTCTTTGTGCCTCAAGGTGCTTTCAGTCTAATCCAGCAAGCAGATAAAACTACACATATATTACATTTATATCACAGCATGCCAAAATGATTTATACAAACATAGTGCTAATGAGGGAAAGAACAATCTTCAATTCTGAAAGATCCAATGTACAGGGACTCAGGCCTCTACAGTACACACAGTCAGCATAACCAGTGTTGAGCTGGGTCTACCACTCCAGGTGGGCACTGGACAGAAAAGTGTAACAACCAGCTGGTAGAATCAATTTTGCAATCAAATGGTAAAGAAACATTAGTTTATTTTTTAAAACAGATTAAGACGTAGAAGCTGTTAATATCATATTTTTCTTTAATTTGACCTTCAGTTGGACCAATATTCCTCATGTAACCCACTTCACCAAGAACCACTGGAACCTGACCTGGCTATGAATATAAATTCAGAGTAGCTCTGCAAACTATAAGAGTAAAACGTTTCAGGTTCCTCGTGATGATCAGGTGACTGGGATGAGACTCCACAGAACGGTACTGTTACAGGATCCTACCCTACGTGTTCCACACGCACATGGGTATTCTAATTGATTTGATACATCCCTCCACATCTTAGAGTCCAATCATGAAGCTTCTGTGACTTCAAAATCAAAGTGACTGCTAAAAATATTTTTTAAATATATTAAACACTTGGACTTTGGAAATATTTGCTTAAATTTAAGTAAGCTTTGAATCCGAGCCTGGCACTAACACAAATGCAGTCAAGTCACAACACCAAGTCTGAGATAAATCCTGCAAAGTACTTTTGGCAGCAATCTTTCGTGAATGCCCAACCCCAACCGCCAGTACCAAAAGTATTGTGCATTTAGCAATTTAGTTTGTCAGGGATCTTCTTGATTTCCAGTTCCAAGGAGTACATTTTGTTTTTAATCTTAATTCCAGTATAGTTAACATATGGTGTTTTATCAGTTTCAGGTGTACAATCTAGTGATTCCACACTTCCATACGTGACCCAATGATCATCCCAAGTGCCCTCCTTAATTGCCCTCACCTATTTCACATATCCCCCTACTCACTTCCCTTCTGGCAACCATCAGTTTGGCCTCTATAGTTAAGAGTCTGTCTCTTGGTCTGCTTCTTTTTCCTTTGCTTGTCTGTTTTTCTAAATTCCACATGAGTGAAATCACATGGTATTTGCCTTTCTTTCTATTTAGCTTAGCATAATATACTATAGCTCCATTCACATGGTTGCAAATGGCAAGATTTCATTCTTTCTTTTTTTTTTTACAGCTGAGTAATATCTCATTATGTATATACACCACATCTTTGTCCATTTATCTATAGGCACTTGGCCAAGGAGATACATTTAAGTCATGTTGCTTACCAAAAGTTTATCCTTTCCCCTCTCACTCATAAACCTTGAATATGTTTTCCTACTAACAAGGCAGGAGAGCAGCAAGCTATTTCTTTTTTCTGTGTCTGATATGAGGTACATGTGTAAGATTCTATAGAGCCCAAGAAGGGAGCAAATAGAGAGTAACTACAAATTTTAACAAACAATGAAAGCCAACAGAAAGGGCAAAGTCCTTAAGCAGGCAATGCACAAAGGAAAAAACTCCATTTCATTTTCACAAGCAGATGTTCAGGATATAGTATTAAAGGTGAGAAAAGCTGTGATGTGTAGGAAAAAATAACTTCCAGTTACCAGAATTTTTAATGGTAAGGATTCCAGGGAAGCTGGACTGCACACAATGTTACCAACTGCTATGGCGCCTAGCTACCAGGGCACCAACTCTCAGAGTAGCACCGGGAGGCCAGAAACAACAGGAGGAAACACCATCGAGCCGTAGCTAACGGTGGTCCAGAGGACAGTGATTTAACACGTCTATGCTGTCCTACGTTTTCTAAATCTTTTACAACAAATATATATTACTTCTATAGTTAAGAAGGTAGTAATTTTTTAAGCGAATGCAAAAATAAGCAAAATTTTTAACTTCCTTTTTTCATCGAAAAAGCTAATAATAATTGCAAATTACATTTCCTAAAAGTAATCCAAGCCATGAATTATGCTTTTAAGCTCTGCAAACTATATGTAACCCATTTAACTTGGAGAGGTATTTACTGGACAATGTAGTTCCTATTTGTCACTTACTTTTACCCACTTTCAAATTCAGCTATTAAACAAGGCTCCAAAATAATCAGAAAAAACTAACATTGCTAGTTCCTGACCTCCATGCCCACCAAGAAATTTTTAGGGAAGTAAACAGCTACGTCATTACAAAAAGGAGCTGGAGAAATGTGGGGAGAATACAAACTCCAGATTCACAGAATACAAGCTGTCATCTATTTCTTAAATTATTTCTTGACATTGTGTCCTGAAACAATGTATTATCTTCACTTAACCTTTGAATATTATATTAAGCCTAAATCTCACAAAGCAGAGCATTAGATTAACCATTTCCAAGCTTCTCCCTTCCTGGCAAAATGTCATTTTCTATACTAAGGATCTCTGCCTTCAAACATGTAAGCATACGTAAGCATTAAGGTGAAAACCTTGCCTTATAGCACGTCTCCCTCATACCTCTAAGCACCCACATTTGTATTGTCCTGACCCCAATTCCTTGGCCACAGTTGACTAGCCAGATAAACATGGGTTTTAAAGTCACCCTCTTGTGTTGTCTCATATAAACGAATTCATCTACCCTTATCTCCTTTGTGATCACTTCACAATCCTGTATCTTTTGTGCTTGAATTTCTTATAGTTGCCTTCCTTGACAATCAGAACATGTGCCTTAACTAATCTCTGGAATCTGGGTACAAATTTCACAGCAGTATTTGTATCCACACTAGCAGCTTCCCCAGAGAGCTCAATGTTAGCCAGTTCATGATGACTTCTGAATTGACGAAACCATCGTTGGCAGTAAAGCTCTTCAATCTCCTCCTAATTACTGTTTTCTTTCAATGAGGCAACCAACCAACTTCCACACAGCCTGAAAGTTAGCCAAACTGATGGAGGCTTTTTTTTTTTAAACAATTTGCAATCCAAAGTAGAAGTAAATACTCCATTTAAACCATAAGCAGCTTTCTGTTCCTACTGCAATTTAAATTAAAAGATGTCAAAGTGGCTCTACCTTGGTTTTCACATTCATAGGGCTTTTTCAATATGGCTTCTATTGTGCAAGCTCGCGTCTCATTCTGGCTCCACTCTGCCACTGGCATTTTCAACCTTTTTTTAAATGTTTATTTATTTTTGTGAGTGTGTGGGGGAGAGAGAGAGGGAGACACAGAATCTGAAGCAGGCTCCAGGCTCTGAGCTGTCAGCACAGAGCCCAAAGTGGGGTTTGAACTCATGAACCACAAGATTATGACCTGAGCTGAAGTTGAACGTTTAACCGACTGAGCCACCCAGGTGCCCCTCAACTCTTTCTAATTATGTGCAATTTCACTTCTAGCACGAAGCTTTGTTGGTCTAGCTTTGTTGACCAAGGTCCTAATTCAAATATCCATTTCTGTAATAAGATGCATGTATTTATCTCTGGGGAATGAGGAGCAACTACAAGCTTGCTGTCTGAGGGGTAACTGATGTATGGTGACCAGTCACTGACAGACTTGGAAAGAAGTGATGTGGTTGGCTGTGATCAAGATGCACATCTGTTATTTACGTGGTGACTTTGGACCGAAGAGTTGGGAGTAAGGTTTGCACTTTTTGCAATTACTTACAGTTTACACAGACTCGAAGCAGGCTTCAGACTCTGAGCTGTCAGCACAGAGCCCAAAAGGGTGCTCAAACTCAAAAGTGGCAAGTGATGACCTGTGCTGAAGTCAGAAGCTTAGCTGACTGAGCCACCCAAGCACCCCAACTTGATAAAAACCAAGAAGGCCCAGAGTGGCACAAAGGAGTAAGATGCAACCTTGGAGGAACTAATAAGCAAGTCCATGTGTCTGTGGCACAAATCTTTTTAAAGTAGGCCTCATGCCCAGTGTGGGGCTTGAGCTCACGCACCTGAGATCAACAGTTGCATGCTCCACCGAGCCAGCCAGGCGCCCTCATTATGGCACAACTCTTCAGGGAAAAAAAATTAGTTTTCTCTTTCTCACCAAGATTCCTGCCCCTCCACTTTCCTTAAGCAGCACAGGGTGGGTGTTGGCAGGAGCAAGAAGTGGTTGGCCAATAGGAGAAATTAGTGTCTTGTCATGTGGTATAAAAAACTGAAGGAAGAAAATAATGAGACTAGAATAGAGACAGAGGTTCAGGTCAAGAAAAACATGCTAAGCCACTCAG